AACTTGGATTGGCTCTGATTAAAGGATAGTGGGCACACCTCAAGGCAAGCTGCTTTGAGGTCTATCCATTAACCTTCAATCAGAGCCAATGAGAGCTCGGCGTGCTGAAGTCACCGAAAGAAACCAGGCGGACGGAACTTTCGCTCCGCACAGTTTCTTTGGTGCCTCGGGAGACGTTGTAACGATTCTGAAACGCCTCGCTACACGGGTAGCCTCAATGGGGTATTATATTCCGCCGATTTTTCGAGCTACCCCAACTAACTATATTTTCGAAATCACCGGCTTTTACCTTTTCCCGTGTGCTATTTAGTATCGAGAAATTCGAAATAGTTATTGTGAAATCGGCAAAGAGAAACGATTCAAGAAGCACCATTGAGACGCAAATATGATGCAAAAGCACTTTGAGACGTTCTTCTTCATCTGTCCTTTTTTTTCTTCTACCAAGTTCCCTTCTTTCAGCACAGTCTCCGGTATTCTACAATATGATCGAATATAAGCGCAATTTTCTTTGCCGTAAAGTCAGTGGAAGGCAGGCTTCCAGGACGAGTGCACGGGTAGGTAAAGAGGAACTATAAGAATAATAATAAACTTGATTAGCGAAAATTTATTTACCATGCCCTATGCCGAGTACCATGCCGAGTGTTTGTTTCATGCTGCTGCGCGGCTCCTGGAGCCAGCTTACCTGGCATTCTTTCGGCGCCTTGAAACTGCTTGTAATTGCTTGGGAACAAAGTCAACAGTTCAAAGAGTGAACTCTTCCCTTTCGCTGACGTCACATTTTCATTGTTGCCTGTAGAGACTTTCACTTTCAAAAAACCACAATGGGAACCAAAATTGTAAATATAATATCTTAGGGAAAAAAAATTATTTTGGCCGAATACATGGGTTACCATTTCAGCGATGTTTGTTGGTGTGTTGAGTAAATGTTCAGGCAAATCGGCGACAATGAAGAAAACGCCGGAGTCGCAGTCAAGTCACCTTTAACTGCAGTCACCATACGCTTCACCACACTCGCCACACTGTACCGCGGACAACTATGTCAGCAAAACAAATTGGGGTGTGTGTATGCTTATACAGCCTAGAACTTAGTCAGCCTCAACGTCAACTTGTCTCGCAGCTGTAGATGACTAATTTAGCCAGTGCAGCACAACCGCTAGCCGTGGGTCTTTAACGTGAATCACTGAGTAATGATACACAACCATACGCCGGTACGATGCTCATCCAGATCGATATGGGCAGGGGTGAGGATCGAGCCCAGGATTCCTGGGTTCAGGAGCACGAGCTTTCGCTCCACGTGCTCCGAGCTAATGTGCGCTTGACCACTCGGCCACCAATCCCCCTCAGCTATTTCCGAAGAAATGCAGAGTGTGCGTGCACAGCTTTTATGGACTTTCAAGATGTGCAAGCGTACGCGCCTCCATTGTTTGACTGTAACCCCAGAGAACGTTGTCCAAAAGTATAATGTGGTAACTGTGCTGGGCATAACTGCAGTTAAGTATGCAAGTGTAGCTAAGTTATTCATATTTCAATGATTTCTTTCTTTCTTTCTTTCTTTCTTTGTAGGTGCTCGTACCAGCTTCCACCATATCGGTGATTCTTTTTAATGTTGACGTGGCCACTCGACTATGTAATCCCGACGCTGTTCAGTGGAGGCAGAGGCTCGTCGGGCAACAACTAAGTTAGACCGACCAACGAAACCTTTTTCCGCAAGGTAGGAAATTGCCCCTCGTGCCCTCCTCTTTTCACCCTCTCCCAAACATCACATGACGGCAGAGGCTTCTTTTGTGTCGGCTTTTTCTGTAGGGATAATCCTCATAAACCGCGAAAGGAGCGGCTAGCTGCGAGCGCCACAACGACTTTGAGACGTCCAGGTGTCTTTTCTCGTTGACGCGGGCACGCTCAATCCGCGAGATTAAGGAAGCCAGCGCGACCGAACGCTTTTTCCCATGAGCTGCAGGTCCGAGGCCGCTCGGTCGGTGGAGATCGAGGGGTCGTGGTATGCTGGGTTCGTTCCAGCAGCCGCTTTCTGGCATCGCGCGGCTGCTGGAACCATTCCCGTCTCTGCACAAGGATTGGCTTGCGCAATAAAGGGTCCAGGTCGTTGATAATACATTTATTTGTGAAATTTATAAATCTAGTGGCTTTCAATAATCTCTTCATTACTGTTTGAAACACATCTCCTCTCATAGGTTGTTCATCGCATTTTGGACTCTTCTGCGTATTTATTCTTCCTTACTTCTGCTTGATGACTGTGCTATAACTTGGTAAAGACCTTTAAATATTGGCGCGTGCTTGCGCGATCAACGTTGTCCCGGTTTTATCCAAAATTGGAAAGATTGGCGTCAGGAGGGGTTGAAGAAGCAAACCGAAATGCTTGCTTTTAATGAAGACGGCACGATCGTAAGATAGGTCTTTGCTTCACTTGCCTCACAACGCGCCATCGTTTGCACTATCGCAACTTCTCAGTAACATAGCTGTATACCACATTTTACTCATGGTTACTATAGATGTGGCCCCACAGGCTTTCCCGTTATCAGCGAGTCGACTTTTTAATGACCGGCGACTCTCCTCTGTGAGAATAAATATTATCACCTTCCCACAACATCCACCCCTTTCTTCCCCCCCCCCCCCCCCCCTCCCTTTCCCGGGTTGGTGAGATATCAGGCCACTCCAGGAAGCAGCCTGCAGACTGCGCTTTTCGGCTACTCATTCTCAACACATTCGAACGTGGAAGTAAACACACCGCATGACCGACGCCAAGTTTATTTCCAACATAAATAATGTGGCTCTACGGTTAGGACCCAATCAATTTCATCATCAATCATTTTTTGTTACGATTTCATGGTGAAAGTGTGTTCGTCGTGATGCCACAAAAGTGGTATGTTCAAAGGGAGAAATAGGTCCTCGTATTTATTTTGCGGAAATACGCGCTCCTGTGTTGCTCCAGTGCGTAAGGTCAAAGCACGCGAGGCAATGCGTAATGCTTTACAACTGTCGTTGACGATGAAATATTTGTGGGAAGTGCGTGAAATTGTTTACACTACAAAATTATACCGAAACACAACAAAATATCGCAATTGCAAAAAAAAAAAAATGCTTGCGAAAATTGTTGCTTCCCTCTCTCTCTCTCTCTCCTTTTTTTCTTTTTTCGCGCCACTACAAAAAATAGCGGCCGAGCAACGAAATTCTATTAAAACCTCGCTTCTTGGAGAAAGGACAGCAGGCTATATGGTAGTGAATATGCCAGGGAGTTTGTAGAAATAATGGGCGACCATTGAGTCTAGCCTTTTGCACGAATCATGCCCGGGATATTTCCATTTTCCTTCCACGCGATTAGAAGGCAAGACGCTGGGGGAATATATGCGCACTAACATGCTGCTTCTAAAAGAAAGTACCAGATTTCTAGTGCATGTCAACCATCATGTAAATAGTTGGAGGATGACACGGAAGCATGGCGGAAAGCAGCTTGCTGGAAATAGAAGGTTCTATTGCATTGCACTGGTGTGAAAAATTATTACGCATTTTGTTTTATTTCGGCGCTAAAATAAAAACAGTGTTTAGAAACCGAACACTGTGCGGTTTGAGGAGCGCTGAAAGGACATAAAGAAACCGGGACTACCTAAACAATACGAGGCGCCTGGCGTCACTCAGCTTTTCCTGGTTTCTTGTTTTTCCGGAGCCTTTCAAAAGGGGATGAAAAATTATGAACCGATTGACGCGACTTGCCACATTAGAACAGTTCATTTTCATTACGACAAGCTCTCTTAGAGCGTCTTGCATATTTCAGCTTGTATACTGGTCCGTTTTTATTTTCGGTTCCTTTCAAGAAGTGAGCTCTAAGCCACTGGACCAACCTGCAACATTCGAAGTTTACGGAAGCGGAGAAGTTGTTGGGAGGGCCAAGCGGGCAATGGTTGCACGCCTCTCGTGCAACCCTTACCCCTCCTGACGCCAATCTTTCCAATTTTGAATAAATCCGGGACAGCGTTGATCGCGCAAGCCCGCGCCAATATTTAAAGGTCTTTTTCAAGTTATAAAACAGTCATCAAGCACAGGTAAGGGAGAATAAATACGTAAAATAATCTAAAATGGGATGAACAACCTATGAGAGGAGATATGTTTCAAACAGTAATGAAGAGATTAGGGAAAGCCACTTGATTTATAAGTTTCGGAGATAAATGTATTATCGACGACCTGAACCTTTTATTGCGCAAGTCAATCCTTGTGCAGAGACTGGAATGGTTCCAGCAGCCGCGCGATGCCAGAGAGCGGCTGCTGGAAAGAACCCAGCATACCACGACCCCTCGATCTCCACCGACGGAGCGGCCTCGGACCTGCAGCTCATGGGAAAACCGTCCGGTCGCGCTGGCTTCCTCAATCTCGAGGATTGAGCCTGCCCACGTCAACGAGGGAAGACACCTGGACGTCTCAAGGTCGTTGTGGCGCTCGCAGCTAGCCGCTCATTTCGCGCTTCTTGAGGATTATCCCTACAGAAAAAGCCGGCACAAAAGAAGCCTCTGCCGTCACGTGATTTTTGGGAGAGGGTGAAAAGAAGAGGGCGCAAGGGGCATTTTTCTACCTTGCGGAAAATGGTTTCGTTGGTCGGTCTTTAAGAGTTTGAGAGGTACAACCCAGATTCATTTCTAGAGTGGAGCTGCAGACGTGCTAGGATGTTACGGATTGCTAGCCGGGCTTTCGCTACTTATAGCAAGGATTATAGGGAGTGTTCGTAGATCGTCTTCGCCGTCCCGCAACACTCTCCGCAACCCGCTTCGATACCCGGAGCTCTACAGTCAAGGCCATCGGCGCGCAGGCGCAGTAGTATCTTCTTCGTTACGGAGGGCTTAGCGGAGGGGGAAACGCGATCTACGAAAATTCCCTTATAATTATTGACACTCCGTAGCCGATGACGATTCGAAAATAGCCCACAAGAACGCCGACAAAAAAATACCCGAACAGAAGCGTGAAGATATCATGAACCTTTGATGGTTCAGACTCCTTTACCAGAAGTTTAAAAATAAAGAAACCCGGTATGTTTTTACCTTGGCGAGACCTGTGTCCTTGCGAGACAGACCCCTGAGGAGCGCCGGTGGCGCCGCGGGCGGCGTATCCTTGATGAGTTCCGAGTAGCGCGTGGCGAACGGCGTGCCCTCATTGGACGAGCCCTGGGAGCCATCCGCGCATGCGCCGGAGTTGCCATGGCGACGGCGCTTCTTCGACGACAGGTTCAGACGCTGGGCAGCCCTGCACACAAAACAAAACGAAACGAATTTAAAAAAGAAGTATATACCTTTCAAGTTAAATGTTTCCTCTTAACTGTAATGATATTGTAAACGCTGGCTCTAATTAATTGGCTACGACTACCGGTAGTGTGGCAAAAACAGGGTGTGGCTTATTTATGGTTGGGTCCCTTGTTTTGTAATTCCTTCTTCAATTTTCTTATTAATTAATATTGCAATCCTATTGGCTGGGAAGCAACAATAAGGGTAACGGGACTTGCCATATGCTCTGCGCTTGTAAAGCTATCAGGGACCATAGTTAAAGGTATTTGTCCAAAAACAATGTATGCGGTGAGTTCTAAGCAGACTGCAACTGTAGTGATCATGTGAGCCGGTGCGACATCCATCTTTTCATAAAGCCACTTCTCAAATGCAAAGAATAAAGTGGCGTTCCTGAACTCGACATTTTCTCGTCGTCCCCTCGATTAGTGTCTGAACAATCATAGTTATAGTTACGTTTCATCGTCCGCTGATTATAGTAGCTTGCGCTTGAATTCATGAAGCAAAAAAGTTCAGCCCGCTAATAGATTGAGGCAAGTAATCCCTAGAAGCTCCTAGATCCAAAAAAGGGTGAGTTTTTCCTTAATCAAAATCGAGTTGGTATAGCTGCACGACTTTCTCATATTGTATAAAATAAGAGCGCTATATTTGGGACCCTAGAAAATATGACGAAATTACGCACTTAGAAACTTCTTACTCGAGTATACGCTATCAGGGAGGACCGTCCGATGCTCGTTCCATCATTCATGACATATTATTCGTCGCTGCCTAATTTCAGAGCCATTAACAAGCCGTGAACGGCGGTTTTCCATTGTCCTCTCGAAAGCCCTCGTGTCCAAAGCCGCCTTCTTGTGTCGTCGGACATCGCGCAGCAGGGGACAACGACGGCACAAAGGGAACTCATCCACCACAAAGCCGCCATAGTGACTGCCAACACGTAGCCCTCCTCCTCTCCCTCTTCTCTCTCTCTTTCGCTCTTTCTTTTACTCTCTCGCATCCTTTTTCTATCCCCATAACTGTGTGTCTGCTTGCCCAACTAAACACGAAACAAACCACCGGAGCATTCTGGTAGGAGATGTAAGGTCTCTGCTATACTATAACCGCGCACGCATATTGGTCTCTCTGCGGCCAACCGAGCTAAGGTTATCCGATAAAACAAAAAGGGTAAGAAAAGAAAGTTAAGGGAAAATTTTAAAAGGGGAAGAGAAGAAAGAAGGGGGAATGGGGAGGGGCGTAAGAAGAAGGTGGAATACATTGCTTATTACTTAAAGAAAGCGTTCTGAGCTCGTCAATTTTCTTTTGTTGCGCCCCCTCGCGGCGGAAAAAGGAAGATGAAGAAGCGTGGATGCGGTTCCCGCGATCAAGAAAACCAAGAGGAAGGAGAAAGGAAATATTTCCTTGGCAAAAATAAGAAAAGGAGGAAAATTTTAAGGGAAGGCAAAAGGGAGCACTAGCTTAGCACTCCCTTTCCTTCATGTTCATTCCAAGACCCTGACCTGTTTTGTGTGTATATATATGTTCGGTTATTTCACTAGGTTTCTAATACGGACTTCTCCCTACCCTTGGCAACTTCGTCTTTCCTTTTAAAGTAACGGTTAATTAAATCTCAATAACAATGGCGCTCGAGGAGGACTCTTGGAGAGACCATTTAAACGCGGTGAAGCTATTCAGGTCCTTTTTTCATTGTTGTTACGTGTTTAATCATTGTGTCTTTTTTAGGCTTTCTATAGTTCCCCCTTTTTTATTTAATTTGGTACCGTTCGCATATCTTCTTGATTTTCATTCTTGTGGGGATGATCTTCTTCCGGCGTGTTTTCTTTTATGTTCACTGAATAGGCGCACCATGGCGTTGCAAAGCGAGGCCGAAGGGAATACAGGAAGGGGAACCGAAGGCATTTCATTCCGGGTCGTGTTCGCATTAGAAGGCAAAACAAAAAAACAAAAAAAAAAGGCTTGGGGGAAGTCAAGAACGCAGCTGGCAACACAGATCTGTATTTTTTCTCAATTTTTGTTTTGTTTTTATATATAAAAAGATGCACGCCGCCTTCAAACTTACAAGATAGTCACAATTAAGATCATTTTTAGCGTGTATTTGCCTGAAAATACGTTAATTTTACTGAGAATGTTTCCTGTCTCAGAAACAATGTACGCATCTTCCCTCGCCCCCACATTGTAAAGTATAACGCAGAAATAAAAAAAGCGAAGTTTTCAGCAGTGTCAGTTTTGTTCCTGGTTTTGTTTTGTTTTTGTATGTGCGTGTGCCTTGTTTTATAATGAATTAGTATCGACAGGTTCAGTTTTCAACAGTTCCGAGTCAGCTTGGTTTCATTCAGTAGGCTGTCCCCCTTGTTAACGTCTTTGGCAATACCCGAAATATCAGCCCTTTCCACGCCTGTTGCTTGATGCATGTAATCAGATACAGTTGTGAAAGGCTATCAACACTACCGCCGACACATTGCCATGTAGTATCGAGAAATAGCTAATACCCCATATATTAGTAACAAAAACACCTATAAACAAAGATGCCAGCCTTACTGTGGACCTCGTGTTGCGTTTGAGTTTCTGTTTGTTTCAGGTTATCAATTACATACGCGTAACAAGACATTACAGTGACACGTCACATCATGGTTTGACGTGACATTATAGTGTGCCTAACATCTGGTGTCGGGTTATGCCACAGTGTCACGTGAGATTATGGTGTCAGCAACGCAACTAGATAAGAACATTTCTTGAACCGCCGAGAAGGGCCCGGTGTACCCCCTTTACCCCCTCTGGTCCACCTCCAGTCGTCCGGAGCGCCATCTAGATTTTAGTTTCAAAGCCGTGTGTTTCATAGAGTACCGTGAAGCGCCATCTAGACGCTGTACTTCCAAACATACGCATCCCATAAAGTACACCGCATTCACCAGGGCAGCCGTCCCCAAAACGGTGGCGCTTCGAACGATGGGAGGCGGGCCGTGGGGAGAGAAAGGGGGTACGACTCGCGAAAGCAGCGCGTCTGTGGGCAGTTCCGTAACTCAGCTAATCTAGTAACGTTGGCCGTCACGAAACGTCTGGTCTCAGGTGACTTCGCGGTGTAACGTAACTCCATGGCTCCAGATGACGTCATGATGCCATATGTGACGTCAGTTTCAGGCGACGTCACTATGCCAAGTGACGCCAGGTGACACCGCGAGATTTGGCGACGACAATTTTCACGTTAAAGTTAGCAGATAAATTGTCTAATTATACCTAGCGTAGAAACTTTTCCGCTGAATTTAGCGAGAAATTTCCCAGATGACTGTATATCGGAAGCCCACCCTGATCCTCCGCAAAACCTCGAAAATAAGGGCTACGTCCTTAGTGAATAAATAGTACAAGCCTTATTCATTTGAAAACTGGGCCACCGCCTAAATTACCCGGGCACATTGGTAAATACGCCATTCAATGGTAAGCCGTCACGTTGTTTTGCTTCGAGTAGCATAGAGCGTGCCACCATCCCGATCGCCCCGACGAACGGACCGGGTCAAAACATACATACGGTCTCTATCAATTCAGGTCATGCGAAAAACAGGCATGCCCACTCCGCTAAATCAACAACAGCGATTGCGGCGGCGCCCCGTAGCGGAGGCCGCGAGCGCATATAGATGTACAGAGAGCCGCGTTGTTAGGCCGCCACGTGGCATTATTTTAGAGTCCACGTACACGGAAGGGATGTGCCGCTATCCAAGCAGCGATATTTCACGTAGGCGCGACACTTTCGGTGTTGGATTTCCGCGCGCGTATTTTCGTCGTATACTTTTTTCATCCCGTTGGTATGATGAAGACAATTACGAATAAGAAAAGGCAAGGACAAAACAAGCGAAACGTTTTGGTTAATGGAAATTTTCATTCTGCACGGAGATGGCTACAAAGTATTTCTGGTTGCTGTTTTTCTTTTTTCCACGCTCTGGCGCCTGCACCAGCCTTTGTTCGATTTGCTGTTTCTCGTTGTCTTACAATCAGCTTCACGTACTGGGTAAACAAGAAATACCTAAACATGTAATTGAGACCATTTTATTGCGTGTATAGTTATTTAAAAGAAACAGTATTGGGTTATTAATTAGGAAAGGGGGAAGGACCTAAGTCCTTTTTTTATAGGTATACGGAGAAGAGGGGGGGGGGGGGGGCAGCATATCGTCGTGCGGTTGTTTATCACTACTGCCTCACGCACGTTAAAGACCCTAGGCTTGATTGAAGTCGTACTGCACTGGCTAAGTTTCTCATCTACAGCTTAAATCTGCAGCGTTGCCATATCTTAAAATCAAACGGACCTTACGCTGTCTAAACACGAGCGTCAAGTTTGGTTCGGTTTGTTCTCCCTAGAGCAAAGAATAATTGTTGGCATTTCTTTGCGCTTGGGACGGGTAACTGGTTTGTGGCCAAGCGGTACTACACAAAACTCGTACAATAGGCAAAGCGAAGATCTGCATAACTCGCCTACAACAAAAGACACTGCTAAAGAAGCATTCCGAAGGCATCACATTAACTTGAATTTGATTAATTAGCTTTCTCTATCTCCTCAGTATTTCATCTTTTCTACAAGGTATTGGAATCGATGTGTTTACGTCTTGCGAACGTGGGGTGGTCGTGAGTATATATTTATGTTAACTGAGCATAAAAATGTACCCAATACGTATTAAACGAAGATCCGATGATGCGATGTCAGGTAACATCACCCGATTTGGTGCGATCAGCCAACGGTGCAGCCAAAAATTCATGTGTAGATAGTGGGCTAAGCGCCTCTAAAATCTGTGAGAGGTTCCAGGACGAAGAGTGAAAAAAAGATTTTGATAACTTCCACATATCTATAGAGAACAGAAAGCAATGTGGAAAATCCGGTTCAATGAAGCTTCCTAGTATTTTCCACAGCGTGGCACAATGGAAGATGAAATAACTTCATTAGCACAATCCGGAAAGGAAAACGTGGAAATAAATACAATCCAA